TCAGAAGTGACACTTACACTGAGGTCTGAAAGAGAAGTAGGAGGTAATCAGGTCAAAAGTCAGGAAGGGGTTTACAGAAATGTTTAGGAAGAGGGAACAGCAGGTACAAAAGCCCTGTGGTGGGAGGAGCCACAAGAAGATCAGTGTGGCCGAAAGGAAAAAGGAAGGATGTCACTGATACAGAAGAAGATAGCCAGGACCTGATTGTACATGTCTCGTCAGTTCCAGAGAAGAGCCTGGGTTTGGTTTTAAGGGTTGGAGGCTTATTGTCAGTGCTGGGTTTTGAAATGACACTATGGTGGTGGGAAGGGAAGAATGGGGCATTCTGGGGTCCCAGCTCAGCTACCTACCAACAGTGTAATTCTGAAGGAGTACAAGTTACCACACATGCACTTAAAGCTATTGTGTGGAATAACTGAGATGATAATTAATGAGTTACTGTTATCATCATTAGTCAAAGAGCACACCACTAAAGAGTCAGGAGTCCTGGGTTCAAATCCCAGTTATTCCCATTTAACCCTTAGGGGTGCAGGAGAGCCCAGTGGTTAAGAGCTCTGGCATTGTGACAACAGATATCAAGGGGTCCAGGCTAAACCCTACCACTTTCCTCCTGGTTATATGGCCATGAGCAAGTGACTTTTCCTCTCAAAGCCTAAGATTTTCCATTTGCAAACTGGGGACAATAACGAGAATGACCTAGCGGATGGCTGTATAGATTTAATACAAATTAATGGCATGATTTCTGATAAATTGTGGCCATTTTGATGATGATGATGGCCAAATTGGTTTTATTCACATAAGGATGCTGCTTTTACCTGCTGGACTTTTCTTCTTCTTCTTTTTTTGTTTTTTTAGATGGAGTCTCACTCTGTCACCAAGGCTGGAGAGAAATGGTGCAATCTCGGCTCACTGCAACCTCCGCCTCCCAGGTTCAAGTGATTCTCCTGCTTCAGCCTCCTGATTAACTGAGATTACAGGTGCACACCACCACACCAGCTAATTATTGTACTTTTAGTGGAGACGGGGTTTTACCAGGTTGGCCAGGCTGGTCTCGAACTCCTGACCTCGTGATCCGCCCGCCTCAGCCTCCCAAAGTGCTGGGATTACAGGTGTGAGCCACCGTACTTGGTCCCTGCTGGATCATTACTTAGGACAATAAACTAAACACCCACCACTTGGGGACAGGTCAGCTGTCCCCTTAGGGATTGAGTGATTTCTCAGGAAAAGATCTGAGACAGGAAAGACTGACTTAGTAGAAAGAACCAGATCATTTCCAGCTCCTCCACCAACTGACCACCTGGGACTGTGCAAGGTCCCAGCTCTCCCTGGTTTTCTGTGTCTTCCTCTGGGCTTTGCTTCTGACGAGGGCTGTTCCTTTAAGCTTGCTGGATGGTCAGAATGCTCTAGTCTGGGGGCAAGGAGAGAGGAAGATGGGAATCACTCAAATTCAATTTCTGTGGCTTCACCAAGTGCTCCTGTCATGCGATAAGGAGCGTCCAGGACCTCTGCTCTGCTTCTGTCAGTGAGAAGTTGGGATGGTTCAGTGCCTTGCAAAGCGAGCTCATCACATCAGGCTGTTCACACTGCTCTGTAGATAAGGCTCAGCTCATCAGTTAAGATGCCCTAAACGTTTCCTCTGATCCCTGCTCACCCCAGGCGAATGGCCTTTCTCCCCAGAGGTGAACACATCTGAAAGGATCCCTGACAAGTCACTGGGATTGAGCCCTGGATCCAAACCCACCTCAGACTGGGGGGCAACCTTCAGTCTATGAAATGAAGGCCTGAGGAATTCTTTTCAATCATTCATTTACTTCTTTATGGGGTTTCCTTTTTGCTCCCTTTTTTCTCTTTACCTCTCACAGCTTGACTCTCCAATGTTCTTATGGATTGAGAAGGATTGAGCCTTTTCTTTTTTTCTTTCATCCCTTCCTGAGTCTCCGTTAGGGATCCGTTTTCTTTCGGAAACAAAAGGAATGGCCTCTCCCATTTTGGTTTGCCGTTTCAAGATGGCGGGAGTCATCTATCCAGCAAGTTTTCCAAGCAAGGAAAAAGAAGACCAGGACCTCACCAAGCACATGCAGAAGTATATCTGAGTGGGAGGTGGGGTGAAGGTTGACAAATAACTATTGGGTAAAATGTTTAATATTTGGGTGATGGGTGTACTAGAGTCTAACCTCCACCACTGTGCATGTAAAACCTGTGTAACAAACAAGCACATGTACCTAGTGAATCTAAAATTTTTTTAAAAAGAAGTACATCTTAGGCCAAACATAAACTCTACAATGATCTCATTTAACATCATGAGTAAAACCATACATTTAAGTAAATTACAAAGTTACTGATACATGTAATTTGGTCTTTGCTTCTAACCAAGCACCATCCATGTGATGAAAGTTCAGAGCTGAGAAACATTTTTCTTGAATGATTCTGTTCTCCTGCCTTAAAAAGTATGTACCACTTCCTATTTCTTTAGTTCAATAAACACTTATTTAGTGCCTACCCAATGAATACGGACTAAATCACATTGAGCATTTTTTTTTGTCCTATGCCAGGCACTCTAAATGTATTCCTTTAGAGTAGTCATTTATATGCTTCTATTCATCAGTGTTATAAGTTTGATCAATGCCATGCCCACTACCCATCCAGAAACAACCCCACAAACTCTGTCTATTCCCCAAATCATAATTCTGTGTTTTCTACTTTTTTCCCCCTTCTTTCAGTCTCTTTCTGACTACAGGCAACCCACTCTTTTCTTCCTCCCCTCCAAATCTGGGCCAACTGGCTCCAAAATCCTTTTGTTGAAGCTTCTGAAAAAAACAAGGTGTTGCTGTCTGTCTGTTCACACCTTTTCTCTGGGCAAGCTGCTTCCTTCCTGAAATTCCGCAGGAGATCCGACCAGCATTTCTTATATATAATACTCCACATGATATTCCTGCTTTGTATAGTTCTGGCTTCTTCAGGACTTTAAAGTTTTTTCCTCCCTCTTCTTCCCCATCAGGGAATCTATAACCTTTAATCCATGTTCCTGCAAATGTTCTTTCTGAGAAAACGGGTCTAGGATGCAAGTAGCTAAGAATAGCTGACGTTTATTGGTTCTTTTCCGTGTGCCGGGCCCTGCATGAAATACTTCACATGAATCTACTTCTTTAATCCTCAGGACAGCTCTGTGAGGCAGGCACTATCACTGCTTCCTTTTCTCAGATGAAGAAACCAGGCTCAGAGAGGTGAAGTGAGTTGCTCAAGGACACACAGCTAGGTTTAAAACAACATTTATTCCAAAGCCTTTTTTTCTTAACCACTAGACTATATAGCTTTTCCTTCCCAAGATGCTCAAGAAGCTCACTGATCTCCAAAGTCATTAGTTTCTCCTGCGGTTGACAGACCTCTTTGAATTCTTGAAACACTACTATGAATGCCACTGGTTATTAAGCAATGTGTGGACAGAGGCCATCATTGGGAAGTCCCTGTACTGCCTCTGTGCCTTGCACTATGTTGGGCTTGTCCTGTGGGCCCAACCCATGCTTGTCCAAGGTCTTTCTTTCTTTTTCTTTTTTTAAGAGACAGGGTCTCATTGTATCGCCCAAACTGGAGAGCAGTGGCATGACCACTGCAGCCTAGACTTCCTAAGTTCAAGCAGTTCTAACGCATCAGCTTCCCAAGTGGGTAAGACTACAGGTGCACGGCACTACACTCAGCTAAGGTTTGTATTTTCTGTAAAGACAGGGTCTTGCCTAGGCTTGTCTCAAATTCCCGGTCTCAAGCCATCCTCCTGCCTCAGCCTCTCAAAATCTACATTCTAATTTAAGAATTTTGCCTAGTCCAGCTGTGTGCTTGGTGTTAGGAAGGGAAGGGAAGGTTTAATTTCTCTCGTCAATTAAGAAAATAAATAAACAAAAGTAACCAGGGATTGTTAACTTAGTATGCAGGGATAGGCTTGGGGGATATCATCTGTGAATGAACTGTATTTTGGGGTAACAATGTCCATGACTATGAGTTGATTACAATCCTCTAAACAGATAAAGATTGCATGTGTTATGACAGCTTCCACAGTAAAGGCAAAGTTCAAGCTAAAGTGAACACATCAGGGTTTCCGCTCTGCAGGTCGGAAAGCGAATGTCCAGCGTGGTAAAGGTTCATGTCCAGGACCACCCAGTCGGTGTCTGGAGCCAGAAGCTGAATTCACTTCCTTGCTTCCTAGTATTAGGTCTCCAACGCTCTCATTTGGAATTGTAATAGTCCATTGTTAAGTCAAAGACTCCTTTTCCATGATGAAGCAGCTATTTTGCTTTAAAAGAAAACCTGGGGGTCAGGGAGAAGGTTATATGGCTAAGTTAAACCTCGTCTCAGCCAGTCACACAATTCATACTGACCATTATTAGTGGGAGGAATGGAGGGAGCCTAAGCCCACCCATCCTCCAGGATTTATGACTCAGCCCTCCTGGATGCTCACATATCTAGCATTGGGCTTTTGTTCTGATAACAGGGCTTCTGTCTTCATCTGGACCTTCAGCCTATGCCTTGTTAATTCTACTTTATTTTTGCCAATCCCTGTCCCAAGCATGGGAGTTCTGACCCCAAGGCTGAGGTCCATCCTCTCACTCTAATCCCACTCTGATGCGTGACCACCATTTTCAATCTTAGTCTCCAGGGACCACATTTGGCCTTTCGTCTCATCTCCAGCTTCTCACTCTTTCTCCCCACAGTGCCATCCTTCTTTCTCAAGGGGCAGGGTCTACTTTCAAGGCCTTTATCTTGGCCAGGCATGGTGGCTTACACCTGTAATCCCAGCACCTTGGGAGGCTGAGGTGGGAGAATCTTTGGAGCCCAGGAGTTTGAGACCAGCCTGGGCAACATGGTGAAACCCCATGTCTACAGAAAATACAAACATGGGCGGGCATGATGGCACATGCCTGTGGTCCCAGCTTCTCAGGAGGCTGAGGTGGGAGAGTCACCGAAGCCTGGGAAGTTGAGGCAGCAGTGAGCCATGATGGTGCCACTGCACTCTATCCTGGGTGAAAGAGTGAGATCTTGCCTCAGGAAAAAAAAAAAAAAAAAGCCCTTTGTCTTGAAGCATTGCTTAGAGCAATGGGTTTTCCAACTTGTTTTAGCTATAGAATCTTTTATTCCAAGGAGAACATATCATGAATCTCAACATAGAAAGAAGATAAAAATGGAGTTTCCTGGCTGAAACTCCATGGGACTGTAAAACCTTTACATTCTATTTATGATAAAGACCAGGCCCCGTGCCATGATCTGAAAGGCTATGTGTGGTCTGAAATTTCCCCATTTCCCTGTCTCATCTCCACCCACTGACCTGCTTCTAATTCCTTAAACTCTGGGTGTTCCCTCTCATCCCAGGCCTCTGAAATCTGCCACCCTCTTTGGAATAGTCTGTCCTTGCTCCCCTTCACCTAGTTAGCTTCCACTGGTCCTTCACATTTTATTATTTCACTGGGAAATCTTTCCCAGCCATCAGGTCTAGACTGAAATCCCTGTTATGAAAATGCATTTCCCCATGTCCCTCTCCTCATTTATATTTGATTTATTTTGGGTCCGCATGAATTTTGTCTACCTTTGCTTACCATTCTGCTTGTCACAAACAGTCTCTTTCTTTTTTTAATTTTAATATTTATTTAATTTAATTTTTTTTTTTTTTTTAAGAGACGAGGTCTCTTTATGTTGCCCAGGCTGGTCTCAAACTCCTGGCCTCAAGTGATCCTCTCACCTCAGCCTGCTGAGAAGCTGGGATTACAGGTGTGAGCCACCACACTTGGCTACAAAATAGGCTGTTAATAAATATCTGATGATGTTTGAATGGGATGGGAGGCTCTAAAGCCATCTGGCCTGACTTTCACTTTCTTGATTTCTATTGGCTACCGATGGAAAAAAACACTGGACTGAATTATTTGTAAGGTATCTTTTGAGCCTAATGCTCTATAGAACTATTGTTGCAGCTCCAGTTGCATATAAAATGGAGTAGCAGTGTGGGCAGGTGGGCAGAGCTGGGTCTCTCTTCCTTTAGACTTTATATTCTGGGCCTAGGACCTGAAGGTGAGTAGTTAGTTTGCTTCCTCCCCATAGGCTTGCTTCTGGATGACACTGATCTTCAGTGAAATGGCAGAGTTTGGCCAACACCATTAGCAGCCCAATGTCATTCCAACAAACTGCATCCACTAAATGGCAGGACTGAAAGTGTACTATAGCAAAACCTTTTGAAAGAAAAAAGGGAAATCTTGAACTAGTTCTTCCTTTTATTGGGTGGAAATTTCCTTCACAACAATACAGACTTGGTTGGCTCCCAAAGCTCTCTTCTTCAAGAAACAGACCTAGGCAAGTCTGTGGAGAAGATCAGGGCTTGAGGCTTCCAAAGCTTAGGGGCAAGATTGGAAGGGTCAGGTGCCCACAAAGGCTGGCAAAAAATGCAGATGAGTGAAGTGGAGCTGGTGGGTCCACAGTATATAAGAGAATGCAGTGGGCCAAATTAAGGAGCAGGCTACTGCTACTCTACCCCAGTCAACTGTTGGAGTGCGGGAGGGTGAGTCCCAGGTTGTCAACTCTTCTGATTTTTCTAGGGATGCCTGACATTGGAATTGCCATGCAAAGTCTTCTATTTTAAATGTTGGAACTAATCCTATAAAGTGTTACAAAATATTTCCAGGCCAAACCCGAAAATGCATGTGGGCTAGTTTTGGCTTGCGGGCTCTCTTCTGATTAGGAGTTTGGAAAAGTCTCCAACTTCTTTTGTCTCCCTAGGAGTCCTTTGGATTATAATAATAATAAAAAAATTCATTCTGAGAATGGAGATGAGAAAAGAGGAAATGTGCCCGGGGCTGCCAGGCTGGCGTATGAATGTCCGCGCACCCACTCTACCAGGCAAAACACAAAAGAAACCGCCCCCAGGGAAGCTGACTAGGCCACTGTGGCGTGTCACTGACATCGGAATTACATTAAATTATCACCACACGAGTGCCTTCCACTGTTGTTATTTGTGTTCCAAAATATCCCAATGAATTCTAAAAGGAGCGTTATGTTCCCTTAAAGAGAAGAACCTAATGTTCTGTCCTTTATTAGAACCCACTCAGGAAAATGAGCTCATTGTGAATGTGAGCAATCCCTTCTCTCTGGGGGCAGAGAAGGAAACAGGGAGAATTGATGAAGGCTTTTGATTAGTTCACTGACAAGTTTTCTTTTGGTTTTATTGTTGCTTTGTCTTTCCCCCAACAGAAGTCCACCTGATGGTCTCAGATCAGAACCAATGTGAAGATGTGGTATGTGCACTGGCCTGAAGGGCAGGGGGAGGGCCATGTTTCATCTCTACTGAGAGGCTTCCCAGATGGTTGGACTAAGTGTCATCCTCCCAATTCCTCACCTTGGTTCACAAACAAATTATATTTTTTGCTAAAATAGGTGCATAGTATTTACAGTTTCATAATACATATTTTTTTCATTGACGCGTCCTTCTGCCTGCCTGCCTTCCTTCCTTCCTTCCTTCCTTCCTTCCTTCCTTCCTTCCTTCCTTCCTCCCTCCCTCCCTCCTTCCCTTCTTTCCTTCCTTCCTCTTTCTTTCTTTTGTTCTTGCATTCTATCCATCTATTTATCTTTGCTCCTCCTTCCCTCCCTCCCCCTTCCTTCTCGCCACCCATACATCCGTATATTCATCTTCCTTCCTTCCCTCCTTTTTTCCTTTCCTCTTTCCTTCCTTCCTTCCTCCCTCCCTCCTTTCCTCCCTTTTCCCTCCTTCTCACCCTTTTTCCTTCCTTCTTGCCATCCATTCATGCATATATCCATATTCCCTCCTTCTTTGCTTGCTTCCTTCTCCCTTCTTTCCTTCTTTCCTTCCTTCCTTCCTTCTTTCCTTCCTTCATTCCTTCCTTCCTCTTTCTTTTTTCCTTTCTTCCATCCATCCATCTATTCATCTTTGTTTCTTCCTCCTTCTTCCCTTCCTCCCTCTCTTGCTTCCTTCCTTCTCTCCTCTCTCTCTCTCCTTCCTTCCTCCCCTTTCTTTTTTCTTTCCTTCCTGTCATCCATCTATCCATCCATCTATCCATCTTTTTTCCTTCCTACCTTATTTCTTCCTTTCTTCCTTCCTCCCTCTTTCTTCTTTCATCTTTTCCTGCCATCTATCCATCTTTCTTCCTTCCTTCTCCATCCATCTATCCATATTCCTTCCTTCCTTCCTTCTTTCCTTCCTTCCTTCCTTCCTTCCTTCCTTCCTTCCTTCCTTCAATAATATTTATTACTCCATCAATGTCCATGAAAACTATTAGCCACCTTTAACAACCATTATTACTATTCAACTTATTATTACATTTATTTATTATTCTTACTCTTTTTAAATATCCATTTCTTTATTCAGCGACATGTGCTGAGCATTCTCTATATGCTGAGCTTCCTTCCTTCCTTCCTTCCTTCCTTCCTTCCTTCCTTCCTTCCTTCCTTCCTTCCCTCTCCTTTTCATCTATCCATTTCTTTATTCATGAAACATGTACTGAGCATTCTCTATGTGCCAGGCACTGTGATAGGCAGAATGGGTAAAATGCACCTAGTTGAATCACATCAGATGCATATTGAAATTGTATAAATTCATCTATACTAGCTCATGAGAAAGAAAGAATGTTTCTTTGAATGATTTGGCTTAATATTCTACAAAGTGAGTATATACCAAGAACCAGCATGCAATAAACCATGGGTACCTGTTACTTGCCTGGTTAGCCTCCGTCTTTTCATAACTTTCAAGGTGTGAGCAACTTGCTTCACCAAGTGGTTTTAGATTACAACATAAGACAAGCATGGCAAGGGCTTCTGGGTTTCCACTAAAAGCCATTTCCTTTTCCTCCTGGGCACAAAGCTAGACTACATGCCTCAGCCTCCCTTCCAGGCAGGGAATGACTGAGTTCTGTTTATGGAATGAGGACAAAGAGGCTGTGCTACCTCCAGGCCCTGTCCATTAAAAGCTCCTATGTGAACCTCTACATTCTTTCTTCCCTTGTCTTCCAGATGAGAGCTGAGGATCTATGGAAGAACTCTAAGGCCCTGGGATGGTGAAGCCTCAAGATAGAAGAAATCTGTGAGTCTGAATGATCATGAGTAATGTGGCTCGTTGACTTGGAATGTCTGCAAATTGACATTTTATGAGCAAGGGATAAATTATCATGGTTCAACGTTGCCGAGGTTTTGGGGTTTATTCGAAATAGCACCTAGCATTATTTACCCTAACTCATATAGTGGCTATTTCACCAAATGAAGAAATGGTAATCTAGTGTAAGACTGGATTGAAATCTGGCTCTGTTGGATTGATAGAGGAGGTGTGTGATCCTCCAGTATGGTTCCTTGATATGTGATTTTTGTTTTAGGAGCTGACTTTAGAGTCTCCACCATAGACATAACATGTGACTTCTCTATATGCAGTATCCTGCAGAATGGCTCACTGATAAGGCAATTCAAACTAAGGTAATAATTTGGTCAGATGAGGAGGTAAACACCTTAACTCCCATCTTCCCAGCACATAACACCACAACACTTTCAGTCACCATTTCTGCACAACTGGGATGTTAACTTGGTCTTCTCTGACCAGGTGAATATAGCAAGGAATTCCCAGGCATTCTTTCAGAAACTCTGGTCCTAAATCAGGCTGGAACTCAGTTCAACAACATTTCCAGTCCAGGTGGCCTTATTCATATTTGAATAGGGACAAAAATCCCAACCCCAAAGACTGTGGGTTATAAATGAGAAATACACACACATGCACACACACGTATGTACACACAGGCACACATGTGCACACACGCATACACACAACTACTGTGCCTGGTGTACAGTATACTTTTTTAAATCCTGTAAAACCAAAATCAGATTCTAAGAGTTTCTTCAGGGATCAAAGAATAGACACCTTTCAAAAAATGTGAGAATATAATGATGGGCCACCCTGACCCTCCCACAAATAACAACTATAACCTCTGAAGGCAGTGGAAAGTGAACAAAAACACCCAGACTTTGTTAGAGTTAAAACCTGGAAGAAGGTAATGGCATGAGGTAACTCATTTGTTTCTGTGGCATTTAACATTAGAACAGGCTGAAGTCAGTACTGTCTGGGGAAGCTAAAATCCAAGAAAAGCTCATATTCATTCTGGCCTGAAGAAACAGAGGATAGAATTTGGGACAAATACATTTTCTGGAAAATGAGTGGAAATCCCTGAGAAGAGATAGTTGGAGGTTGGGCACGGTGGCTCACACCTGTAATCCCAACATTTTGGGAGGCCAATGTGGGCAGATTGCCTGAGCTCAGGAGTTTGAGACCAGCCTGGGCAACACGGTGAAACTCCATCTCTACTAAAATACAAAAAGCGTGGCAGTGTGCACCTGTAATCGCAGTTACTGGGGAGGCTAAGGCAGGAGAATCACGGGAACCCGGGAGGCAGAGGTCACAGTGAGCCGAGATCACGTCACTACACTCCAGCCTGTGTGACAAAGCAAGACTTCATCTCAAAAAAAAAAAAAAAAAAAAAAAAAAGAAAGAAAGAAAAAAAGAGATAGTAATAAATAAGGAGCCCTCAATTCCATTCATTAACTGCCCATGTCCTTATCTGATCTCTGAACTTCGCACATATGAGATACAGAATAGAGAGTAAGCTGTTCAGCTAAAGATAGGAGAAAAGAACTGAAATTTCAGTTGTCACACAAAAGATAGAGTTTTGCTAGAGTCCAACCAAATGAATTGTCAGCTGAAACAAAAATATCAACACTCTTCAAAGGAATGTAACCAAATCTACAGTTTCTACAATATAGTATTAGCAGCATATGGATTTCAACCCTGAATACCTTGACATACGAAGAATCCAGGAAATTTGACACAGGCTCAGGACACAAGACATCAACTAAGACCCACTCCACGATGATCTAGATGTTGAAATTATGGGACCAAGATGTCAAGGAAGTAACTATAACTAAGCCTAATAAACTAAAAGAAGATATGGTTGAAATCAATGAAAAGATAGAAAGTGTCAGTAATGAAATGAAAACTATAAAGAAGAACAGAAACTCTGGAATTGAAAACTATATCTAAAATTAAATATTCACTGATGGAGCTTAAAAACAGAATGAAGATGACAGAGGAAAGAGTAAATGAACTTGAAGCTAGGTCAACAGAAATTATTCAATCTGAAGAAAAGAAAGAAAAAAGAGTAAGAAGAATAAAGCTCAGGGATTTGTGGGAAATATGAAAAGATTACACACACACACACAGACAGACAGAGTCAAGAAGTAGAAAAAAAGAGAATGGGGCAGTAAACAAATCTAAATATATAATGGTAGAAAATTTATCAAATTTGATGAAAAACATATATTTACAGAATCAAGGAGTTAGCCAACTCCAGCAAGATAAATATGAAGAAAACTATGACTATGTATGTCATAGTCAAACTACTAAAAAATCTAAAATAAAGAGAAAATATTGAAAGCATCTAAAGAAAACAAACATATCATATACAGGATGTATTTGAAACTGTGTACATGTTGTATGCATATGCATGATAAGTTGAAATCTCATGGATTTCTCATCATAAATTATGGAAGCCAGAAGCCAATGAATTAATAGCTTTAAAGTTTTAAAAGAGAAAACATTTTTTCAAAACAGATTTCTATACTAAGCTAAAATAGCTTTTGAGAATGAAAAGTGAACTAAAGACATATTCAGATAAAAGTAACTAAGAAAATCTATCACCCAGAAAAGCTAAAGAAAATTCATCAGACTGAAGGAAAATGACACCAAATAAAAATTAAGTTCTTCACGAAAAATCAGGAGCATTGGAAGTTGTCAGTATGTGAATAAACATAAATAACCAACTAACGTTTTCTCTCATTTTCCTTAAAATACACATGAATATTTAAAGCAAAAATTATAACATTGCCGTAGGCTTATAAGGTATGTAGATGTATTACACACAGTGACTATAGCATAAAGGATGGTGGATGAGGGGTCAATCGAAAGGTCAACAATTGCAAGGTTTCTAAATGTCATGTAAAGTGATAACTTTAAGTAGAAGATGAAAAGTTAAGAATATATGATGTAAGTCCTAGAACAACCACCCAAAATACAAAGATATATAGCAAAAAAACCAGGAGGTAAATTAAAATGTAATTCTAAAATATTAAAAGAATTTGAAAGAAGACTGGAAAGGAAGAATAGAGAAAGAAAAACAGAAGGGCAAACAGAGAAAAAAAATACTAAGATGGAAGAGTTAAATCCACCCATATCAATAAATTCCGTAAGTGTTGTTATGATGATAGCTAACATTTGTTAAGGACTTATGATGTGCCAGGTACTTTACGTGAATTATTTCATCTGATCCTGATAACAACTTTGTAAGATAAATACTTGATTCCATTGATGAGGAAATTGAGGGTCAGGGAAGCTAAATGTCTTGCTTCAGGTGATGAAGCAACAGTTGGTAAAGCCAATATATGAGGTCTCACTGCAAAGCTTATAATCGTTTTACAGCATCCTGCCTCTAACTAAGGTGGTTACTAAGCCTCGTGGTGTCAAAGCAAGATGAATGGAATACTGTGGTGCCTTCTCCTCCCCAATTATCTCCTAACAATTACAGTGGGTGCAAGTGACTTGAAAACAAAACAGAAAAAGAGCACCATAAGAGAAAATACCTGTCCTAATATCTACCTTTGGCAAGAGTGCCCCCATATGCCAACCCCTAGTAAAGCTAATATTGAATTTATGCTTTTTGCTTTAAAGAATATTTTAGATGCATTAAGAAGAAAATAAGTGTTGTCAAGGTTCACAAAACACTGGGTTATTCCGGAGATCTCCATTAGAAATAAATTGTCCCTGGAGCTTTCAAAATAAATCATCGTGGCTTCATCAGGGCTAGAAGATTAGCTTTAAGTCCAATACTTCAACGCCATTTTGAATTTTCTGTCCAGAAAGAGATAGCTCAGTTTCTCTGAGTTCATCTAACTTTCTCTGATAATTTAGTATAAAATAAGTTTCTCTAGGTTATGTGACAGCAACTCAAATGGGTGCTGTTTTTTTATTTCCTAGGATACTGTGATTATCTCAATTTATACTCCAGAGATAATACAATATGGATGGCTAGACCATCTCGCTGTTTCCGCACAGACAAGGGCGAGTCTGTGCTTTTCGGGATTTTTAGGCCACTCGTGTTATTGGCAGCAGTTTAGTGTTAGTCAGATGGCTGTGGTTTTGAATCCTGACTCTTCATCTTATTAGCTGTGTAACCTTGGACAAGGAATTTTACCTTTCTGGGTTTTAGTTTCCTCATTTTCAAAATGGGGATGGTATCTACTGCATGGGAGTTTTGAAAGGTAGGTAAGATAAGACATGCAAAGGATGTAACAAAGTGGCTGGCATATAGTAAGCACTTAATTAAATGTTTTTAAAATTATGACCAGGTGCGGTGGCTCACGCCTGCAATCCCAGCACCTTGGGAGGCCGAAGCAGAAGGATCATGAGGTCAGGAGATCGAGACCATCCTGGCTAACACGGTGAAACCCCGTCTCTACTAAAAATACAAAAAAAATTAACTGGGCATGATGGTGAGTGCCTGTAGTCCCAGCTACACAGGAGGCTGAGGCAAGAGAATGGCGTGAACCCCAGAGGCGGAGCTTGCAGTGAACCAAGATCACACCACTGCACTCCAGCCAGGCAAGAGAGTGACTCTGTCTCAAAAAGAAAAAAAAAAAAAAAAAAACACCTTTTTCTTTTCCTTTTGCTATCCATTCATGATGATCCACATTCCTCTCCTCTTTGCTTGCTTCCTTCTCTTTTCCTTCTTTCCTTTCCTCTTCCTTCCTTCTTTTCCTTCCTTCATTCCTTCCTTCCTCTTTTCTTTCTTCCATCCATCCATCTATTCATCTCTTGTTTCTTCCTCCTTCTTCCCTTCTCCTCTTCTCGGCCTTCTTCCTTCTCTCCTCTCTCTCTCTCTCCTTCCTTCCTCCTTCTCTTTTTTTTCTTCCTTCCTGTCATCCATCTATCCATCCATCTATCCATCTTTTTTCCTTCCACCTTGCTCTCTTCCTTCTTCCTTTCCTCCTTTTTCTTTTTATTTTTTCTGCCATCTATCCAATTTTCTTCTTCTTCCATCCATCTATCCATATTCCTTCCTTCCTTCCTTCTTTCCTTCCTTCCTTCCTTCCTGTCTTCCTTCCTTCCTTCCTTCCTTCCTCTTCCTTCCTTCCCTCCTTTTCATCTATCCATTTCTTTATTCATGAAAACATACCAGTATCTCTATGCTAAGGGTTCAGAGAAGTAGAATGGGTAAATGCACTTAGTTGAATCACACCATGCATATTGAAATTGTATAAATTCATCTATACTAGCTCTAGAAAGAAAGAATGTTTCTTTTGATGATTTGTTTAATATTCTACAAAGTGAGTATATACTCAAGAACCAGCATGCAATAAACCATGGGTACTCTGTTACTTGCCTGGTTAATTGCCTTTTCATAACTTTCAAGGTGATAACTTGCTTCACCAAGTGGGTTTTAGATTACAACATAAGACAAGCATGGTAAAGGGCTTAGTTTGTCTAAAAGCCATTTCTTCTCCTGGGCACAAAAAGCAGACTATGTCTAGCCTTCTTCCAGGCAGGGAACACTATTCTGTTTAGGAATGAGGACAAAGAGGTTGGAAGCATCTCCAGCCCTGTCCATTAAAAAGCCTTGGTGTAACCTCTTACATTTTTCCCTTGTCTTCCAGATGAGAGCTGAGATCAAGTGAAGAACTCTAAGGCCCTGGGATGGTGAAGCCTCAAGATAGAAGAAATCTGTGAGTCTGAATGATCATGAGTAATGTAATTGTTGACTTGAATGTCTGCAAATTTATACTTATATATGGATAAATTATCATGGTTCAACGTTGCTGAGGGTTTGGGCGTTATTCGAAATAGCACCTAGCATTATTTACCCCACCATATAGTGGTTATTTCACCAAAATGAAG